ACTAATTGTGCGAAAAGCGTGTCGCTCCGCCTCCGTACTAATGCCGTGGGATCTTTTATTGTTTTTCTCTCTTTTTTTCCCATGGCTATTCGTGCTTTTCTTGTGTGCTCTTTTGGATGTATTGAGGCGGCTGGTTGGAGAGAGGCTAACTGCCGCACAATTTTGTGTGAAGAGGACTTTTGAACCCCACGTGTTTGGGTTATTAGCGAGTGAAGGGAAGAAAAAAGGAAATGATGGTCACCACCAGTGCTGCTGCTGTTTTTTTCCTTTTCTTTGCTGCCAGTTTTAAATGGGCTATCCATCATTTCTTGTGGGTGTTCCACACCCCTCTTCCATTTTCCTCGGTTTCTGGGTGCGTTTTTTTTAGCACCGCCGTTGTGTGGCCGTTGCTTTGCCAACATGCATACGGGGGTGGTGCTCCTTCCCATAGATGTGCCGTAAAAAAATATTAATATATTTTCAAATGCGCCGTGTGCTTTTCTGTGTGCGTGTAATTTGGGGCTTGGGCCTCACTCAGGCAGGGGCAATGACATCTTTGCACCATTGCGAGGCGGCCGTCGAGGCGGTGCACTAGCACAATAAGCTGTGCGTTCTATAACATACAGAGTATTCGCTACTGTGGGAATCGAACCCTTATTTTTTGGTGAAACTACCAGGGCTTATCCACTGGATGCGGTGCGTTGATTCGGCAAAGGGAACAGAAGGACGTCCTCTATGAGGTGTGCCTGTGGAGGGAGAACTGAACTGCTACCTTGGTGAGTATAAAATATTTGTATTTATCTGAAACGAGCGGGCGTCGCTGTGCATGACGAGACTTCATTCATACGGACGTGATGCGGCGGGTGGAGGAGGCCAACGGGCATGGGCAATACGAGAGCGATTCCATTGTTGCCTGTTGAGATGATTTGAGCATTCATGATGATAATGATGCGGGCGAACACTCTCAGGTAGAAACGCTCTTCTCGATGTCAGGATATTAAAGTTGCACGGTAATGTGCCGCAGGTTGACCGGACCTCTTTTTGTGAGGCTTTCCGACACGTCGGTGGAGCCGCTCGGCGTTCTCCAAAAGGGTGTTCTGTTCTGCACAGGTGTGGCTGCCCGAGGATTGTATCCGCCACGGGCGGACTGAATTGTGCACGACGATCCTCCGGCTGATCCAGCGTGTTGTACTCACCGCACTGGACGGTCAATCCCGCATTGGCAACGTTGGGGACTCTCTGCTGTTCCTCATGCCACACGAGGCAGGATGCATCCCATGCGTGAGGACCCTTTATCGCCAAGGAGAGAGGGATCAGTGGCTCCTTACGGGAAATGAGGCGGGAGCAGCAAATGGAAGAATGACAATGCGAGTCGTCTCTTTCCGCCACCCGGTGACGTTGGACCCAAAAGGGGAACCACATGTGAATGCAGAGCACAGCCACTTACGTGTGCACTGTTATTCGACTTGTCGTGAAGCGGGGTGGAGCCGTCAACGACTCACCTGGCGGAGATGCGAGGTGGAACGGTGATCTCGCCCGACTCGCACCGTGTGTGTTCCCATCGTACATGCGGGTGCACGCAGGGCACTCCAGAGAGCCCATAAACCGTTTTCTAATTTGTGTATGCTCACATTGGTCACGTCGCACACGGTTTCCTTCTTGGCAAGAGACCCGGTGATGTTTGGGCACAACTGCAGAGCTTTATTGGGGAGGACGCGAAGACCGCGAGAGAGACGTCTTCTCTCGACACACAGGAGGGCGGAAGAGGGTGCGAGGGCTTTCGAGGTTGGATGCGACTGCAGTTGGAGGTGCGTCACGATGATTGGCCGCGAAGCGTGATTGTGCGGAAGCAGCGCAGTGTGACTTGTAGTGCTGCTGGGCGGGGAATTGAACGGAGGCTGGCACGGAGTGAAGGGAGGAGTGACACACCCAAGAAGCAAGAGGCCAATGTTGCAGTGACGTTGGTGAAGTGTTTTCCATGGGATGAGCTGAGATGTTTCTCCCATGGCGCTTAGCTGTGCCCGCGCCAGTCCGTGTTTTCTATCTTTTTTACTCCACAGAGTGTCCAGGCTTTTGGTTCTTGCTTGCTTGTTACTCCTCCACCATGGGAGTCAACGAGTCACGACGACCCATCGGGATGCCGAACCGACGGGAATTGTGGGCTTCAGCGTGGTCAATCTGGATCAGTGAGCGGAGACCTGCGGCACCTCATTCTGCGGCGAGTATCTCACGCACTGTCACGGGTATCGGCGCCTGTGTGTGTCTGCCCTATGACCGGCATTTGTATGGCGTACGCCCTTGGCAAGGCTGAGGGAAAGGGCGGGAGTTCCCACTGGCACGTGTCTGCAGTCATAATGCGTAAATAGTGGACTTGTTTGTGCGGCAAGGCAGCAAGGTCGCTCAGGAGAAGCAGCATAGACTGGGAGTACACTTTCTAGCGGTGCGTGCTTTGTGACTCTCGAGGCGAATGCCCCAAAGGGATGTATGTGGGTGATGCAGATGCACTGGATATGCACAGTGCCATGCTTCGTGACAGGGAGCGAGGCAGGAGTAGCGTGATTCCTCCTGCCATGGACCTGTCAACTTTTGAGGAGTTGGAGTGAAGCTAAGGGGACAAGCGTGTGTGTCTTCACCTTCTTGCGGGAGGACGCGGAGGTTGGATTTCTTTTGTTAATTTGTTGTCACGGTGCCTGCGGCGACGTTAATGGGGGGTTTGTTTTCCAGAGGCATTCATTGTGCGATTTGCGCGTGTTTGTTGTCCATCAATTTCATCACTACCGAATATGGTGTTGCGTAGGATCGGAATACATGGATGTGCGAGAGCATTGTGTTGCTCGCCCGTAATAACGCACACGCGCACAGTTTCAGCGCGTCTGATACGTCACGTTCTTCAGACCGGTCGAAATCACTTGTGGGACGTCACTTCATTTGCGGCGTCGGGAAAGTGAAGTAAATGGAGAGATATGCCGAGAACGCAATGCCTCTCCATAACACCGCAGGCTTGCGGCGACAAGGAGCAGAGAGCTTCTACCCAAAGTTGAGAAGAGGGCAGCGCTCTGACGATCCGTCTTTTGCCGCTTTAGGAACTTTTAATGTAGTGCACACCGTGTGGGCCTTTTTGCTGCGGATATGCAGGAGGGTGAGGTGGGGTGGAATTATTGTTGAAGGCAGTACGGACACCGCCTGACCTTTATGGGAGGGATGAGTGCTGTTATTCCGTGCTTCCTTTCCTGCGTTGTCGCACTCATGCTGTGTGTGCGGATGGCCACAGTAGTGGAGCTGAATACGGTTCAATGTGTGTTGCTCACGGGGACTGCGCGACACATGTATTTTTTGTTGGGCTTCCCAACAGGAGGGGCGCATCGCCGTTGCGTGCTTCCCGCGGCAGTCCATTACCCTGTGACTATGCGTGCCTCCGTCCGCTGCGCCGTCGCAAGCCCTTGCCTTTGTGAGAAATGGGGAGCGTGACTGCTGTGGCGGTGGTCGAATGTTCCCGAATTGGTGCTTTTGGTGATTTCACTTAGAGCGCCGAGCAGCGAGGGGCTGCACACGCCCAGGAGGTGGGAGTGTGTGCTGCAACCGCACCTGCGATTTGTATTTGGGATGTGACATGTTTCTTTGGTATTTTTGTTTTTGGTGATATGCAGGGCAGCGGTGTGTTGGCGTGTGCGGGCTGCTCATGGTTGCCGGTGTTGTCTTTCCTGCTGTTCTCCCGCTCCAGTCCTTTGCGTGCGACGGACCAAACGTTTTTACGGGCGTGTGGTGGGGCCGCGTTCTTGATTGGAAAAAAAGCCTTCCGCAGGCATAATGATACTGCCGTCCGTGCCACACGAGGCAGCGGGGAGTTTCCTGGGATTTATTGGCGGGGTGGCACCGCACCCATGCCGTGTGGTAGGTTTTTATTCCGCAATGCACGGTGATGGGGATGTGCGGTGACAACTTCCTCCAGTGGAGCGACACGAGCAGCACGGGGAGCGGAGCGGAGGAGTGGTGGCTGCGTGCTTCCCAGTGATGCGTGAATGGCGAATGAAATATGAAAGGCAGCGTCACGGCACTCTTTTGCCATGCACACCGCAGATATTTTCCATAAAGCATGTAATTGCACTCTTTTCTGTGTGGAGGGATTACCGTGATGCATCGCCGTTGCGGTGTGTATGATTTGCGGTCCCTGCGTGTAGCCGTTGCTGCACCGAATTCTCTTCCCACTTTTGTGTATTTCTGTCAGGGTTTATTGCGCGCATTTCATCTTGAAAAGTGCGTGCGGTGACGGCGGTGCCACAGGGGTGCGGGGCCGTGGCGAACGGTATGCGTGGGCGAACCCTCCGTGCGCACCACGTTGTTATTATTGTTTGCGCTTTAAAACACTGTGCTGGGTGGATGGCACCCAATTGCCGTCGTTGCGGTGGTCCTCGTGCATGTGGTGTGTATCGCACGCTGTGCCGTCACACTGTGTGGGTGAGTCTCTTGTTGTGGCTTCGAGCCACGACTGTGCCTATTGTATTTTTTTTCTCATTTCCCTTTTTTGTTTGGTGGCCATTGGTTTAGATTTAACTCAATCCAACTAATAAAACAAGGAGAAACAATGCCTGCTGGAAGGCCGGAGAGTGTACAAGGCGGCAATGTGGAGAGTCAAGCGCCTACTGTGCCGCAAGGAGATTGTCGGAAGAGAGCGAGGTCGGACTTCCATACTGAGACGGATCAACCCGATGCGACTCGCAGAGGAGTGGGGAAAAGGCAGCAAACGAAGTGGACCCTTGACAGTCGGGTGGAGGATTTACTGCTGGAGGGGAAGGATCGCATCACCAGCATGGGGCTGAATGATTTTATTCGGAGGTACATTAATCCCAGTGAAGCTGTTGTTGGATGCAATTTGCCGATGAGATATATTTTTTTGATCTCGGTGCTCACGTAAAAGATGCTCAGCTTCTCGGCAAAATTTTACTCCTACAGGAATATAAGGTGCTGAAAGATATTTACAGATTGCATATAGTGGAGTATATCAGTTCCAGACTACGCCAAACATGACTACTATTAAGGAGCTTTCCGAGTCTCCTTTTGACAAATCGAAAGTGACATTATCACTTGTGTATTTTTCTGAGCGAAACACATTTGTACAGGTGACTTCAGTTGGAGTAAACTTTGTGAAGGGTGGTAAAGGAGTATATATTATCTGTAAAAATGAATTTGGCATTCAGCATGCAAGTGCGGATGCCAATTTGAGATTACTTGTGTTCTCAAGCTCAAGATTTGTATCCGTTGTGGATCTCAATACCCACCATACAAGGGCGTCACTTGAGCTGGATAACGAAGTTTCATGTTTGGTAATTTCATCTTCGCGGGGTTTTGTAATTGGAGAATGGAACTCCGGTGCCGTTTGTTTGTATGAGGTTCAGGATGGAGAGATTTTATTGAAGGGTCGCATTTTTTGTTCGTCAACCTCGTGTTCCATGTGTATTTTGTCACACCTTCATACACCACGACTTGTTGTTGGATTACTGAATGGGTATATCGCGGATATTTCTTTGGAAGCAATGTTGATGGGAAGTGCTGCTCGGGAAACACTTATTAGGATGCAGCCTGTGCAATTATTTAATTTGGAAAGCCATAATGCAGTTCTTTGCCTTGGAGAAGTACCTCCCATCATCATTCTTTGCGATACGGGCTTTCAACTTACTGGAATTGATTTCAATGATGTTGCGGCGTGCGCTATAATTGAAGGTTCCCACATTTCATCTAAATATATATTTCTTTCTCAGAGTGAAAATTCTCTTGCGTTTGGAAATATTGTGGATCTTAAGAAGTTAAACTCATGTTTTCTGGGCCTGAAAGCCACTGTGACTCGAGTGAAATACATCGCGTGGTGGAACGTCTTTGTGATGTCTGTTCGCCGAAATGAAAAGGATCAGATCCTTTTATTGATGGGGCATGAGTTGGCGAATTCATGGGTTCCACAAAATGAACTCTTCTCAATTGAACTCTTCTCAATTGAACTCTTGGAAAACGAACGATGTGTTTTTTTGGGACTGTTGTTCTTGGAGGGTCTAACGAATCCCCCAACGGTAATGAGGCGGATAAAGACAAGGCGATACTTTTGGGTACCACCTTTGCGTTTCCGGATGAACAGTTGCCACGGTCAAGTCGATTCATATGTATT